CCCACACACACACTCACATAATCCCCTCCACACACACACATACCCTCCCCCCCCAAAAAAAAAGAAAACCTCACACTCAAGAATGAAGCCACGTCTTCTGTTTGTAACACACAGAGTCATCGTGGGTGGTTGGCGGGTGCTCTGATGTTGTTTGCTTCTTCTTTCCTATCAAGCATATATCGTCCTGATCTCTCCTCTTTCTTTTTTGTGTTTGTTACTCTCTTGTAACACCTCTAATCTTTTGCACTTATATTATGACCTCATTGTGTTGCAAATGCCGTAAAACCCTTACTAAAACTGAAAACGGAGTCATCTCATCTACAGAACGCAGCAACCTGTCTGAATGCCTTGGGAACATCCGAGGCTCAGTATTATTGTGTTATGAAAGAAGAAACGTTATACAGACACGATAAACCCTAAACAAATACAATATTGGAAACTCATTAAAAACAAACAAACAAATGCCAATTTTCTTTTTTTCACCAAGACCCGCCATGGTTTTCAAAAAAATTAATCAATTCTTTGAGTTTGTTGAGAGATTTAGAATGTCATTTTTCTTTCAAAGCGGTTCTGATCTTTTACTTTCTCTGTTGTTTGTTGTTATTCATCCATGGGAATGCGGAAGTAAAGATCTCTACAGACGCTTTGAAAAATGAATGTAAAAGAATGTGGGGAAATAAGTGGCCATATAGCATAATTCCAAACTCGTATTTAGGGGCACTTTTTAAGCCTCTGTCATTCTGGAAGCCATCCATATAGATAGAGATCTATCTAGAAGCCTTGCACGAAAGGGTTTTCAGACAACGCATTTTTGTCACGACTGAGCAATGGGGTATGAGTTTACATTTCGTTTTCTTTTTGCCCTATTAAACTCCTTTCTGAGTAGGGGAAGAGGGCTCGTCGTTAGCTCATTTAGTATCATGCTGGAATTTGGAGCGGATGGCCCTGCTTCGAATCCCCCAGTAGGGAGCTTTGGGCTTTGGTCGTTTGGGGGAGTTTTAAGGCTCTCCACCTATTTATTGACTCGGTCCCGTCGGAGATAGACATTAAATTGGGAGGATCTGCCTTTTAAATCACCCTACAGTGTTGAGAGGGGCGGAAAGGGGGGGGGGGGGACAATGCAATTCACAAGAGGAAAAGCCATCAAGTGGGTTTTGCTTTGTTTCAAATCACAGGCCGTTTACAAACAGCAATAATGGTCGCTTTTAAGGACAATAAGCGGTCTAACCCAGTTTTCAGGGGTTTCCAGAAATCTTGACCTACACCAAAAGTGGGTATTGTCCTACCTATAGGAGAAGTTTGGTTTCACTGGTGTGTAGATTAGTTTGGTTATAGAGAAAAATATCCTTGTTTTTTAAAGAAACTGAACAAGGGGCAACAAATTTACCGTCGATTTGCTCATAACAACATTTTTTGGGATAGCTTCCTTGTGCTTAAAAACAACCACCAATTATAGACCTCAGGGGATAAACTCTGTTGGTCACAGAAAAAATGTTGTGAGGGCTTGTACCTTTCCTCACATGTCCATATATTTAGTCTGTTTATGCAACTACTGACTCTTTTTCACGGCTATTTTAGACACTAAGACATTGGGGTTTAGTATTTGTTCGTTTTAAAATAATGTTGATGGTGGTGGACACAATGGAACAAACCAAAGAATTGTTCAAATAGATAACGTCAATAGTTTTTATTGTGACTCATGCCTATTTTCGCCTGCACCCTTTATTATTTTAATGTAACTGTTTTACTCCCCCCTCAACACATTTATGACTAATCGAAGGCAAAGTTTTTGGACATTTGTTTAGTTTCTTTAAAAGACAAGGAGAGCTTTCTCTATAACAAACAGATATACACACCAAAGAAACCAAATTTCTCCTGTAGGTAGGGCAATGCCCACTTTTGGTGTAGGTCAAGATTTGTGGAAACCCCCGAAATCTAGGTTAGACCGCTTGTCCTGAAAAGTGACCATATGTTATTATAACATCCCAGCATAAAGACTGAGATACGGTAGTCGAACTCACGTCTTCTCTGTGCGAAAACGAAGCGCATATACAACCCACCACAGACGGCAGGCCCATTCATTCTTCGTTTAATGAAAAGTATTAGCTACAGAATTGAAGGCAAGCCTCTCTCTCTCCCTCACTCTCTCTCTCTCTCTCTCTCTCTCTCTCTCTCTA